TAGACACTGGGGAATACAAGACAGGGGAGTGAAAGGGGCAGAAACTGAATAGTTACCTATGAGGTATTATGCTTACGAACTGGGTGGCAGATCTAGTCATACTCCAAACCTAAGCATCACACAATATACTTTTGTAACAAACTTACACATCCACCTCAATTCTAAAATAAAAGTTGAAAAAACACATGCACACGAATGTTCATTGCAGCACTGTTTACAATAGGAAAGGCCTGGAACCACCCCAAATTGCCATCAATGATAGACTGGACAGGGAAAATGTGGCACATATACACCATGGAATACTATGCAGCCATCAAAAGCGATGAGTTCATGTCCGTTGCAGGGACATGGATGAACCTGGAAACCATCATTCTCAGCAAACTGACACAAGAACAGAAAATCAAACACCGCATGTTCTCACTCATAGGTGGGTGTTGAACAATGAGAATACATGGACACAGGTTGGGGAGTATCACACACTGGGGTCTGTTGGGGGGAAATAGGGGAGGGCCAGCGGGGGGTGGGGAGTTGGGGAGAGATAGCATGGGGAGAAATGCCAGATATAGGTGATGGGGAGGAAGGCAGCAAATCACACTGCCACGTGTGTACCTATGCAACAATCTTGCATTTTCTTCACATGTACTCCCAAACCTAAAATGCAATAAAAAAAAATTACAAATTAATTACAGAGAGGCCTTAGCCCTCTGCTGGTAAGGTTTCTTTTCTTAAATTGTTGCTAAAGTCTTCAGGGCGTTAAACCTCTCACAACTCTTAACACAAAGGTTAAGGTAGGACACTTATCATTATACAGATGCTGCTCAATGTACTGTGAGATTAGTCACTATAAACCCATCATAAATGGAAAGTACTTTAACTTGAGAATGCATTTAATACATTTAATTTACAGAGCATCATAGCTTAGCCTAGGCTACCTTCTGAGAACACTTAAGTTAGCCTACTGTTGGGCCATGCAAAGCCTGAGTTATTCAATGCAATGCATTGAATGCTATACTCTGTAGAGTACAGTATTGGTTGTTTAAGCTTATGATCATGTGTCTGACTGGAAGCTGTGACAGCTGCCCAGCATCATGAGAGAACATTGTACCAAATACCACTAGTCGAGGAAAGGGTCAAGATTCAAAATTTTGTGTATAGTTTCTACTGAATACACACTGCTTTTGCTCCATCATAAAGTCAAAAAATTTTAAATTGAAGCATTCTAAGTTGGGTACCCCCTGTATTTCAAATCACCACCTGCACCAGCTCACTCCTTACCCTCCTTACATCCTCTGTCAGCAACTCAGTAGCACCTGGGGGATGGTGGACACTACAGTGCTCAGACTTCTGAGTCAGCAAGTCTCAGGGTAGGGCCTAGCATTCTGTGTTTTAACAAGCCCTCCAGGAAATTCTGATACACACTAATTTGAAAACCATCAAGGGAAAACGATCACAGGCTTTTTATACTCACTCCTTTTGCTTGTTATTTCTATTGATAAGATTCTCTCCTGAGACTCAAATGATCTAAAACTGAAGTACCATCCTCTCCTGAGGAATAATCACATCACTTTTTTCCTACATGAAGAGAGAATTGTTAGATGATGGATGTCCCAGAACCTTTATTGTTTTTACCTTTATATACTATCCCTCACCAAACTAATTGATAGCTGTAATGATTATTATCTGATTATTAACAAAATAAGCTTTGGAATCAATCTGAGAATGAATTTAGTAACAGTCCTCCTCCCTTAATATAAGTGTGGCCTTAAGAAACGTATTTAACCTTTTTGAGTTTTAGTTCCCAAGGCAATAATATAGACATTATACTTTTCCTATGAAAGTTGTTGTGTGGATTAACAGTGAAGGTATATATAGAACATTCAGTATCAACCCTGGATTAAATGTTCAGCAAAGAGTACCCATTGTTATTATAGCTTATTTTAGTTTCTGAGGTAAGGGTCTTGGGCACTTATTGAAAAAGAACAAATTTTTGGAAACTGAGTTTTACTCTGTCACCCAGGCAGGAGTGCAGTGGTGTGATCATAGCTTACTGCAGTCTCAATCTCCTGGACTCAGGCCATCCTCCTGCCTCAGCCTCCCTAGTACCTGGGCTTACAAGTATGTGCCACCATGCCCAGCTAATGTTTAAGACAAGGGTTTCATCATGTTGCTCAGGCTGGACTCAAAATTCTGCCCTTAAGCAATCCTCTTGCCTCAGCCTCCCAACGTGCTGGGATTACAGGTGTGAGCCACTGTACCAGGCCCTTGAAATATTTTATTAATTAAAAGAACTGTTTAAAGTCACAGCTGATCAGAAAAGATTTTAAAGGCAAATAATTTTCCAAAATTTACATTTATATAAACATTAAGTGTATGTAAATTCCAAACCTTTACTTTCAATAATATAATATTAATTATATTATTCTTAAATATCTCATATTTATCAGATTCTTAACTATGTTCAGTCACCATGTTAAAAGTATATTTGCATTCAGCCACATAAAACAGAAAGGTAGCTTAAAACTCATTAATGTTAATAAATCAGTTTTTTAAATGTAAATAAGTTCTTTCAAGGGAAAAACTTAAATTTCAAAACTTGTTTATGTATTTTGGGGTAGATCAGAGAAGAAGATATCTATTATTCTTAGAATTATCTTAGATCCACAATCCTTCATAAAGGATCTTTTCATTAGTTATCAACTGAAGTTTATAAATGTGTCAAGTTGATTTCATCTCTACTTTTGGAGCAAGACTTTGAAGAGTTGCCTTTAATTTCTACAGTCTGGTTACATATATTATGGTAATAGTAACAGCATTCTTTTTTTATTTTACCTTTTAGATTGACAAATACAAATTGTATCTATTATATACAACATGAGTTTTTTTAAATTATTATTATAATTTAAGTTCTGGGGTACATGTGCGGAACATGCAGGTTTGTTACATAAGTATACATGTGCTATGATGGTTTGCTGCATCCATCACCCCGTCATCTACATTAGGTATTTCTCCTGATGCTATCTCTCCTCTATCCCCCCACTGCCTTGTATCCCTCCCTTGGCCCCCCACCCCAGATAGGACCAGTGTGTGATGTTCCCCTCCCTGTGTGCATGTGTTCTCATTGTTTAACACCCACTTATGAGTGAGAACATGCAGTGTTTGGTTTTCTGTTCCTGTGTTAGTTTGCTGAGAGTGATGGTTTCCACCTTTATCCATGTCCCTGCAAAGGACATGAACTCCTCCTTTTTTATGGCTGCATAGTATTCCATGGTGTATATGTGCCACATTTTCTTTATCCAGTCTATCCTTGATAGGCATTAGGGTTGGTTCCAAATCTTTGCTGCTGTGAACAGTGCCACAATAAACATGCATGTGTATGTGTCTTATAATAGAATGCCTTACAATCCTTTGGGTATATACCCAGTAATGGGATTGCTGGGTCAAAGGATATTTCTATTTCTAGGTCCCTGAGGAATTGCCACACATTCTTTTAAAAGACTATGTACTACTATAGGGAGAAAGTCACTGCTCCTAAATTCAAGGCAGTGTATTCTGCACATTAATCAGATTAAACATGTAAAAAAGTGATTTAAGCAGTTTCTGTTTTCATCTCCCTCAGAAAACTAGATGTTGCAAAGTAATCAACTACTGGTAATTTTATCTTCCTATTTTTTCCAAGAAAAGCAAAATATTGTCTCACCTGATACAAAAAAAAAAAAATTTCAAATGAAAAACAACTGATTCTTGAAGGGCCTTAAATCCAATTCCCATCTATATTTCCCAGCTCATACGGGACTTAGCCCATTTCTTACATCGATGCTGGGCCCCCCAGAAGGCCTGTCAGTATACCGTAGGCACTCAGTGATGCCGTTAACAAAGCGTATTTCTGATATTTGTGTGGCCCTCTACAATCTGTGCAGACATCTTTTTTCTGTAGCATCACATCTTATTGACCCTTTTATAGATGAAGGAAATCCAGATTAGAGAGGACAAGTAACTTGTCTGGAATCCCATTACAATAAATGACTAGAACGCTGAGTTCTAGTTGTCCTGTCCAAACTTATTTCAAAACACCAAAGAGTAGCTTTGTGGGGAGTGGGGAGGGTGTGTATGTGGGTGTGTAGCTCAGAAAGCAGATGTGTAGGAAGGAGGGAGCACTGGCCAAAATATAGTCACACAGCCAAAACAGATGCAGGGAGTCTGGGAAATACAGTATTTTGGCTGGACATTTTGCTTCCCTAAATAAAATTAATTTTCTATTACTAAGAAAGAATGAAAGGATGAATATTTTATGAACAATTAGCAGTTCTATTGCAGTTAAAAAGGATTTCTCTATTCTCTCTCTCTCTCTCTGTCACACACACACACACACACACACACACACACACACACACACTTGAATATATAAATATGAGCACAATCACAAAGGAAGATCTGAGTGATTAGAGCCTCAGGTCTTCCTTTGTGATTGTGCTTTACAGATAAAACACTGTCAGTTCATAAGTAAAGCTCTATACTTATGAACAACTAGGGCAAGGGGAGGAACAGTGGTAGATTCTTTTCCTTACTCCTATTATTTTTCTGTTCACGTAGTACATGTTTAAGTATTTCGATTACTGATCTAGCCATTGAAAAAATATTTATTGACTTTAGACACAGAAAAGCAATTCTTATTTTAATTTAGTCAAATATAGTAATCTAATATGATCAGAACTTTAACTTGTCCTTAGCTATCTGGCATGATTCTATTTATATTACTCTGTACTTTTAATTAGCGGTTTCCTCTAAAAAGGCATACTTACAAGCAGATGTACTTGTTTTAATATTGACACTTCATAAACAACATTTGTTACCCCTTTAGGCTGATCACTATGAGAAACAGGGAAATAAGGCCTGAGACATCACAAAGTCTGGAGATTGTATTCATCATGTTTGCTATATGGCACAGAAAATTAATTTAACTTATTTCATTTTTTTCCCACCTTTGTCTGACTGCTCTACAGGCTGTATATTGATGGTCCTTTTGGAAGTCCATTTGAGGAATCACTGAACTATGAGGTCAGCCTGTGCGTGGCTGGAGGCATCGGAGTAACTCCATTTGCATCAATACTTAACACCCTGCTGTATGTCATTTGGATCTACTTTATTAATCCAAATAGAGAACTGCCAGTATTTCAGATATCTTTTTAGTATAAAACAGTTCCTTATTAAATTATTCTACTTGTTGATCAAGGATCTCCATTTACTGATTAATGAAGGTAACAATTCAGAGATTCTCAGCATGTGGTCTGTGGCTCCCAGCATACTCTCTTGTAGAAAGATGACATACCACAGTTATGCACTCCTCTGTCCTTTTCCTCGGTTAAAAGTCATTCACCTCCATCCTTCATTTCTCTATATCCTCATCAGTGGTGAATCTACTAATTCATTCAGTCAACAAATACTTTTGAGCACCCATGTGCCAATAGGTCTTATAGGTATTGGGAAGACAGCAATGAATGAAAACAGAGTTCCTGCCCTTAAAAAGCTTACATTCAAATGGGGAAGGTGAAAAATAAAGCAATAAACATAAATAAAATTATATCAGGGAAAGCTTTTCTGAGATGACAAATTAACACATAATTCCTTCATTTATTACTTAGCAAATTTACAACAGACTAAAAGTAACTTCAAAGGTGAAATTGCGGCTGGATAATTGGCTCATGCCTGTTATCCCAGCTCTTTGGGAGGCCAAGGTTGATGGATTGCTTGAGTCCAGGAGTTCAAGACCAGCCTTTCCAACATGGTGAAACCCCATCTCTACTAACAATACGAAAATCAGCCAGGCATGGTTGCGCATGCCTCTAATCCTAGCTACTCGGGAGGCTGAGGCATGAGAATTGCTTGAATGAACCTGGGAGGCAGAGGTTGCCGTGACTGGAGATCGTGCCACTGCACTCCAGCCTGGGTGACAGAGCGAAACTCTGCCAAAAAAAAAAAAAAAAAAAAAAAAAAAAGGAAGGGGGGCAATTGACCAGGAAATACTAAACTAAAACTTATTTTAGTTTCAAGATTATAAGCAAAAGTTAATTGAAATGAAAACACAAAGCAAAATGACAGTAGGAAGTTATTCTCAAATCTATCCCATTTACTTTTCAGGTAGATACAATTTACATTAAACATCTGGGTTTTTTTTTTTTTTTGGAGTACCAAAAAAGAAATAATAAATTTAAGTGATGTGATTGAATGATATTTCAGTTTTAAATACTAGATGTAAATTTGGTAATTTCTGGCAGTTCTTACAAAAATGACCAAGTTCTAAGCCAAAAATCATTTGTTTCTGACAACACATTATGAGTTATTTGGACACCTAATGTTATGAAAAGGGAAGAACATTTTCTTAACCTCAAGCCTACTTTATAAATGGGGATCCAAACTTGGAATTATGAGTTGCTGGAATGCATTACATCGTATGTGATTGTGAAATCTCTTTTTTAATGATTTTTAAGAGGGGATAAACAACCGAATCTCTGGAATGGTTGTGGCTAATTTTGCCAAAAAGCCAGAGCAAGACTGGATGACCTTTGGAGCCCTACTCAGTCTGTGATCAAATTTACTGAAATTTGAAAACTTGTTTTTCTGAGATGCAGGGTCCAGTATTATTCTGGTCCAGTCCAGTTACGGAATTCAACTGGAAATGGATGATATGCATACTTATAAATATTATTCACACTTAAGTTCATTTAACACTTAAACACCTAAATTCATGAAGTATGTCATATTCTTGAGTCAGTATATTACGTATTAAATTCATTTAGGTCTCATGATAAGTGCTGTATCAGATGCTGGAATGTAAATGACTGATTTTTTCTATTTGTTGCTTACTAATGAAAAGCAAAGTGTCAAAAATATAGGGATTCTTTAATATTTTTGTTTGCCATCCTAATCACTACCATGTTATTTTAATTTTAAAGGGATGACTGGAAACCATACAAGCTTAGACGACTATACTTTATCTGGGTATGCCGAGATATCCAGTCCTTCTGTTGGTTTGCAGACTTACTCTGTGTGTTGCATAACAAGGTAACATTAAGGTTGTTTCTGGTTTTGCAATTTTTCAAATTAAAAACAATTATATCTTTTATATTACAAAAGCAATGAATGTTTGCTATAGAATAAACTATAGAAATTATGCAAGTAGTAGCAAGGAAAGAAATAAGTCTCTTAAACAGAAAAAATCAGAGATAATATCTGTTAGCAATTAGGTGCACATCTTTTCAGATATGGATATTTGTGAGGATGCATATATATATATATATATATATATAAAACATATTTTAACATAGAGACGTTAATTTCTATGTTTTAACATAGGGTGTTTCACGTAGAAATGTATGCATATGGCTGAAAGACGATGAAGGGAAATACCAGAATACACCTGCTCTAACATCTTCCATGCTTTGTTCTGATAGCGCTTATCCTTGATTGCCACCTTTAATACTTCAGATCACCAGACTTTTTGGTATACAACACAAAAATCTCAAAAATCCCAAATTCTGTGTTTTAATTTTTAGAGATAAAGCAGGCATCTTTATCTATCCTATCTGTAACATTTGATCTATTTATCTTTATTCAAATTATACAGGTAACACACCTATACATTTTTGCTACAAATATTTCAAACAACTATGGTAAAGTAAAATCCTCTCTTACTACCTTCCCTACCTAATCTGTGTAAACAGAGGTAACTCTTAAGTGTTCTGTAAGTCCTATCATACTATTTATGTTATTTATGCAAATTCCTTTTTCAGTATATTACTACGTCTTGAGTAAAGCAGCATAAACAGTAGAGAGTGTGTTAATTTACATTGCTTGTTGAGGAATACCCATCAGACAAAATGCCATTTGAACAGACTTGACTGAAGTGAATGAGCAGACTAGACACACACTTTGGAGAAAAATAATTCAAGATAGACAAACCTAACTTCACAGGCAAGGTCCCTGATGCAGCAGTATACTTGATGTCCTGGAAGAGGGGAAAGGTGGTCTTTGTGGGTGAAGCAAAATAAGCAAGGGGAAGAATAGTAGGAAAGGCAATTAGAAAGGTGGCGTCTACTTTTTCTGGGAAGAGGCAGATTACATAAGGCCTTCAGACTTTATGCAAAAAAAAATAAATAAAAAGATTGGTTCTGGGTATATACCTAGAATAATTAAAAGCAGGGAATTGCAGATATTTGTATGCAAATGCCCATAGAAGTATTATTCACAATAGCCAAAGGATGGAAGCAACCTAAATATTCATCAAGAAATGAATAGATAAACAAACTGTGGTGTACACATACAGTGTAATATTATTCAGCCTTAAAAAGGAAGAAATTCTGACACATACCTCATCGGGGAACTTTGAAGACGTAAAGCTAACTGAATTAAGCTAGACACAAAAGAACAAATATATTATGCTTCCACTTATAGGAAGTACCTAGAATAGTTTAATTTGTAGAGAAAGGAGGTAGAATAGAATACACATCATTGCTAAAAAAGAAATTGTAGGCCGGGCACGGTGGCTCAAGCCTGTAATCCCATCACTTTGGGAGGCCGAGGCGGGTGGATCACGAGGTCAAGAGATCGAGACCATCCTGGTCAACATGGTGAAACCCCGTCTCTACTAAAAATACAAAAAACATTAGCTGGGCATGGTGGCGCATGCCTGTAATCCCAGCTACTCAGGAGGTTGAGGCAGGAGAATTGCCTGAACCCAGGAGGCGGAGGTTGCGGTGAGCCGAGATCGCACCATTGCACTCCAACCTGGGTAACAAGAGCGAAACTCCGTCTCAAAAAAAAAAAAAAAAATTAAATTGTAAATAATTCAGATACAGTAAAATCCTTTCAGGTTACCTTCAGGGAAGGGGAAATGAGGAATTGTTGATCCATATGTTTTTTCTAGACTATTTATTTTTGCAGGTATGTTTTTGCCTCATGCATTTTTGTACACAAGAAACCAGAGCCCCTTGCTGAATAAGCAGAAGGCAAGATCAGGAAAAAGCATCTATTTGTTTTTGTTATTTGTTTTGTTTTATATTTGCTAGCATGCATAAGCTAAATCACTATTGTCTTTTTTCTAAAGAAAATCATGTTCATGATGAGTAAACTGGTAACATTTTGAGACTTTTAAGAATAAAATAAGGAGTATTTCAGAAGGACTAATATTTGAGAATATTTGTATACCATTTAGCATGCTAAATTTTGTATCTATAAAGATCTACCACGATCAGACCTAATTCATACCAAGAGGCCAGATTGTTAATGTTAGATCTGTTATATATATATTTGTGCGTATGTATATAGAATTTAACACAACCTAGCTTATCATAGTCAATATCTATCAGAAAATGAATATATATATATATATTTCATATTACAAAAGCAATATATATATATTGCTTTTGTAATATGAAATATATTGCTTTTGTTTTATATATATATGTGTGTATATATATATTCCTTTTCTGATAGATAATGACTATGATAAGCTAGGTTGTGTTAAATTCTAGAATCACTTATGTTAGAATAGGAGAAAATCTGAGTATGCCCACAGAATTTCAATAAGACTATTCCTTTTTCATATTTGTAATATGAAATATATATATATTTGTTTTCTGATAGATAATGACTATGATAAGCTAGGTTGTGTTAAATTCTAGAATCACTTATGTTAGAATAGGAGAAAATCTGAGTATGCCCACAGAATTTCAATAAGACTATTCCTTTTTCTGTCCTCTCAGTTTTGGCAAGAGAACAGACCTGACTATGTCAACATCCAGCTGTACCTCAGTCGAACAGATGGGATACAGGTATGTGGTTGAATGTTACTGTAAATTAAACAATTCTCTTGATAATAGATTTACTGTAGGAGCTGTGGTGGAAGAAAATTCCTGCAGGTGGTTTGAACAGTTTCTTAGCGCAAGGGCTCCTTTGGAGTATGTCCAGAAAACTGATGGCTTGTCCTTGAAGTCAACCATATTTTGCCTTCCATTTGTCCTTCTCACAAGGGGCTGGAACAGACCTTTTGAGTCTGCCCCTTCCCTCTTCACTATCATCACCTCAAGTTCTTTACTTCTGAAATTCAGACTACACATGAACAGCTTGTGATTTCTTTTTATTGAGGGGATGTTTTATGTGGAGAGAGAAGATGAGTTTGCATACAATTAAGCTTTTTTCTAGCCAAGGAAAACTAACAGTAATAATAGCTACCACGAATTGTTTATTTACTGTTCTAGGCACTGTGCTAAGTATTTCAATTTCACTTATATTAGTTTATGTAATAAAAACAGAGTCAAGCAGTAGATGATATTCCCATTTTGCAGATGATGAAACTAATATTTGAAGAGAGCATTGAAGAGCTGGACGGGTGTAGAAATCTAGGCATTCATTTGCTTTTGCAAATTTTATTTTAGTACTTTTGTTATACATTTTCAGAATACTTTGAATAGAAAATATTAATGTTTGTCAATTACCTCAAAACTAAGCTAACCCTAATTTTTCCAGTCTGATTTCTACCCTACTTGGCATGTAAAATATATTTCATTTTACTACTCTCATGAAGTAAGTCAACATCACTTTTCCTCCTCGTATTGCTGTAATGAAGGGCTGAAGCATAATTTGCATTTGGTTCTCAGTTTGCCTGCCTGAGACTCAGACTCTTCCTCCTTTCTCTGCATTTCACTCTGCAAACAGGAGCCCATTATCAGCCATTTGTCGATAGACCCAATTTTGAAGTTCTGCTGTCTTGAGCTGTCTTGTCTAGGATCATTTCCCCAAATTTACAATGACAGTTTGTAGTATTTACTCATATAATGAGCCATATATAACAACTGTATTCATGGTGGCCAAATACTTCAATGAAGTTAGTGTGCTGAGCCTTTTTGAGAGTGAGCAATTAGAACTCATTTTTTGTCTTGCAATGCAGTTCTTTAAAGATGAAGCAACGAACTGAAGTCTAAGAAAATTAGCCGTTTGTCAGAATGGCATTCAAGGAGATTAGTTCTAATAATTAGTTCTCACAATTAATTCATTTAAAAATCATATTTTTTTTACCTTTTTACCAGAATGATTTTTGTTTGTTTGTTTGTTTAAAAACAAACATGGAATTCAAGGAGATAATGGATTTTAAAGGAAAAGGTAAAGGAAATGATACTTTGAAATAATTGTATGAAATAGGTTGCCATTTGATACTTAACATTCTTTATATCACAGCAGTTTGGTGGGAAATCACAGCACCAGCAGAAATGATGTTAGAGAAATAGGTTACTTATCTAAATCTTGAATAATGTAGTGTTTTCTTTTTGGCAAAAGAGAATTGGAGAAAAATATCACATACTGAATTCAAGACTTTTTATTGGACGTCCTCGGTGGAAACTTCTGTTTGATGAAATAGCAAAATGTAACAGAGGGTAAGTTCTATACCTCAAAAATTTGACATGAGGCTAATAAATTAATTAAAATATTTTCAAATATTTACATGAAGTTTAAAAAGTGATTTGGCAATGAGTTTACAAATGACAAATTCACTGAAACACTCTTTCACTATCAAAGATGGAAGTAAGACAGGTATTGCCCTACATTTCTGTAATTCCAAATAATTAAAGTTTGACTTAGAAATGGCATATAATGTATTTATGAGCTCAACTCTCCCACCTGATTATATATTTGTATAGGCCTGTATTAAAAATCAGTATTCATTCTCACAGCATATATCAGGTGATCATGGGAAAAGCTTTCAAAATCATGTTTGCAAACAAAGAATTCACGTTAGTTCTAACAATGAATTCATTTAAAAATCACATTTTTGTACCTTTTTACAAGAATGAATATGTATTTTTTCTTTGTTCATTTAAAAAAATTTTTTTTGTGTTGTATTATGCAGTCTTTAAATCTGGAATATTTCCAAATATATTATTTAGAAGCTATAATTGTATAAAGAGTCTTGTTCTTATAGACTATGTGTTGATAATCTGAAGAAATTACTATGGAAGGAAAGCTTCCATTTCATTTTAGGGCACAGACCAGTCAGCCCATTTGTCTTTTGTAAATTTATCATAGTGCAGAGAACTGATCTATAAGAATTCTAAGAAGATTTTGAAAAGTGTCTAACGACTGACATATTTTTAGGTTTGCATCTAAATAGCTTCATCATAAGTTTAAATAGTTGCAAAAGATATTGACATTAGTAATTAACGTAATTTCTTGTAACATACCCCCTGGAATATAAATATAGCTAGATGATACTAATGTCATTTATTACAAAAATATATAAACTCTTAGCAGTTGGATATTTTACATCATTCTTTTTCTTTCATTTAACTTGTATTTCTTTCCCATTAGCACATATAATTTATATATTTTTTCATTTGAACTAATCATATTTTTATTGCTAACTTAATTCTAATCATACTTCTACAACAAGAATGCACATAAATATTTTATTTGAAAATTTCCTGTAAACATAGACTCCAGTATTATTTTTTACTTCTAGCTTATCATTACAATTATTAGTATATAGTTGACCACTTCATAAATTTTAAAATATGTTCTTATAAACATCAAAAGGATATTTGATTATAAATGCACAAGCCAGCTTATTAAATGTATATATTTTTAAAAATCCAATTTAGGAACTGGTGGATGAATGTTATTTATTGAAGACATCATTGATTCAAGATGGCTCCTATCTCTACCTTCAAAGATTTTGTTTTAGAAATTACAGAATGGGTCCTGGGAAGTGAAATTTAAAAAGGAATAAAGTTACCCACGTGATTCAGATTACAGCCATGTTTAAACTACTTTTGTAGTATTTCCCTTCCCTTGATGAATTAGTTTTGGGATGAAAATATAAGCATGCTTTACAAAGCAGAAGTTCTTTGTAATGTTCAGAGTTGAAATTAGAAAAAAATGATATGAACCAACTTTTGGCCATCTTCCTTTCCCATCTTTCTCCAATAACAAGTCATCTTCGATGTGGTGATCTTGTCATACTCATCTGTCTCTTGTTATGCATTGCAGACATGTTCCTCTTAATAGTGGCATTTACTGACTTCTGAGAAGAATTTTTTTTTGTAGATTTTCACAGTATATTGCTGAAAACTGAGAGTTTCTTTGGCTGAATTCAGAAACCAAATCCATAAAAAGCAGGTTATTTACAGGGAAATAGATATTGAAGCTGTTGGTTCCTACAGTTAGTTCTCAAGAAGTCTCGTTTGTTAGGCTGTTTGTGTTTTAGAGTGATGTGTGTGTGTGTGTGTGTGTGTGATTTGGTAGTTCATTCTTTTTCTGGAAAAAATGGAAAAGTGGTTTAAGAAGAGCAAATGTGCACCATCTGCTGTTGACATTTTGTGCAACACTTTGACTTTTGACTTTGTGTGTTGGTTGTCAGGCAGTTGCCTGAAATGCATTAAAAAATTTTTTGAAGGACTTTTATATAGCCTACTTAGGAGAAGAATGGATCAACGTTCTTAAGGTTTCTTTAACTGGACAAAGGCACTGTGTAAATGAACGATTTCATTTAAGATGTAGCATTTAAATTAACCTCATGCACATAGATTGCTGAAAGCATATAAAGATTATAGCAGGGAAGACAGGCATATAAGTTGAACTTTTAAAATATAATATGTTGGGCAACACTTTTTAACTTTCAGAAACTGATTATTTATTAAACCAGCAGGCATTAGTGTACTATACTATGTAGAATACAAATTTAAATTGGATTAAACACTGCTGGTCCAGAGGTAATGATTGGTAAGTCTTTGTTATGTATTCTTACAGAAGCTTATGTAAGTTTGTGTGTGAGTGTGTGTGTTTGTAGAAAAGTATATGTAAACCTATGTATGTGCAGGCGTGCGTGTGTGTGTGTGTGTGTGTGTGTGTGTGTACCGTATATCTTTAAAATCTAATCCTTGGTTTTCTAATAAAAATAGAATCTATGACAACGAATTCTTCAACTTCCTTTGTTGTCGTTGTTTTCTTTTTTTCTTGGCTATGCTAGGAGGAACCAGCTAATTTTTAATGATGTACTTCTTTTGATCATAGACAATTTCTGGGTAATTGTACCTCACAGTATTCTATAGTATGAACAACATGACTGTTACTACCCTAATTATTTATATTTAGGTTACTTTTATTTCCTTACAGTTAAAAACAGTGCTGTAGTAATTATCTTTGTACATACTTTCTTATGTGAGAATATTGCAGTAGATTAAGATCTTTGGGAATGCTCAACAGGTATACACATTTAGGTACTGCTTTACAAAAGCTAAAAGTCAGAATTAATTTACTTTCCACATGTATATGACAGTCATTCTTTTGTTGCCTTTTTAAATTCAGAAAATGAATTATGTGATGGTGCGATATGATCATGGAAAGCGAAGGAGCTTTTGGAGTCAACATGCCTTCATCTTTATTTTACAAATGAAGAAGCTAGGACTTCAAAATATAATGATTTATCAAAAGCCACAGTCAATGAGCCAGAATGCAGATATGAACGCTAATCTCCTGACTGCAAGCTCATTGTGCTTTACCACAGGACATAGTCAGCTCGTCATAGACAAAGAATAGCAATCTTATTTTACCGTGCTCCCTTTAGGTGGGAGGGAGGGAGGTGCTGCATATTCATATTCATATCCCATATTCACTATGAATGCTGCAGCAATTTTTTTTGAAATAGAGATATTCTAAATATTATGTTGCAAACCATTTAGTGTTTAATAACCTGTCAGAAAATTATTTGTTATATCTAACCCAAATTTGGTTTCCTATTGTTTGTAATTAAAATGTATATCATGCTTTGAGCTGTGAAGTTTATGCATTATGCAAAAAGAGAAAGAAAAGTTGAACTTTATTGGGCTTTTTGAGTAGAGAATTATTACTCTGGGATTAAGTGAAATGTTTGAGATTATTTTACTGCCTTGTAGTGTTCTCAAACAAGACAAGTTTAGAATAACTAGGTTTAGTCTCTCACATTTACTCCTGTGACCTTGAGTCTAGCGACTCAGTCCTCCTGGATCTGTAATACAAGGAGTGAATAAGCTGTCTGGAGTGATTAAGTCCTCATTACTTAAGATTCTGCATTTACCAGTCTACATGAAAAGCAAGTATGAATATTCATGGAACTTGTTTCTAGTATCTACCCCGCAAACCACATTTTCTACTTAGTGCCCAAATCTACCTCCACCCATTCCATCAAAGATTATGTAGACAAATCTCCAGATAATTGTTGGATTGCAGTACTCTAATGCAAATTTAGTACAAACGAATTGCAAAGAGTCCTTGTAGAAATCAGAAAAAAAAAAGTAAGATATCATTAAGTTAGTGAGAGTGACGTTAGGGAATTCCTCAAATCACACACAGACACACAAAGGATATCCGCGTTAAAGTGGTTAATAATTGTAAATGAAACTTAAAAAAACAGCTAGAAAATCATGATATCCTGGGTGGTTTAAAAATAATGATTTTTATTATTATTTATTTTATAATTAATACTTGATTTTATTATTATTTAAGAAGTATCTTTAGGAAATCTGCAAAACTTGCCAAGCTAGCTCTATAATTGCCCAGTCAAAGCCAATCAACAAAATAATGGTATCCTGCTGTCGTCATACAGTGTTGACAGAAAGTTTATACAAAGAAACAAAATGTCTCAATTCTCTTTTCATTTTAATGGAAGCTACATTATAGTTTCAATAATAATTTAAATTGTATTAAGTATAACATCATTCATTTTCATGTATTTTTATTTCTTTTGCTCACTTTGGGTTTAATTACCTTTTTCTTTTTTTTGTTTCTTAAAATGGAAACATAGGTCATTGATTTCAGATCTTTTTTTCCTAATAAAAGAGTTTAATGCTACATGTTTTACTTTAAACACCACTTTTGCTAGATAAATTTTGATTTGTTTGTTTGCATTTTCTATCATTCAAAATGTTTTTTATTTTTTATGTTATTTTTTCTTTGACCCATGGATTATTTAGAAATGTTCAATTTCCAAATATGCAGAAATTTTCCAGATATCTTTTTGTTCTTAATTTCTAGTTCAATTGAGATTTGATCTAAAAACAAATTCCTTGTAATTCTAATTCCTTGAAATGTATTGACACCTGTTTTATTGCCCAAAATATGGGTTCAAGCTCGGTGAACGTTCCATATTCACTTAAAAAGAATTTGTATTCCATCATTGTTAGATAGATCATTCTATAAATGCCAATTAGTTCCAATAGGTTAATAGTGGTGTTCAAGTTTTCAATATACTTACTGAATTTCTGTCTACTTGTATTAATTACTGAGAGAAGAGTATTGAAATCATCAACCATAATTATGAATTTATCTGTTTTTGCAGTTCCATCAATTTTTGCTTTATGTATGTTGAAGCTTTTTAATTTTAGTGTTTAAATCATTTACATTTAATATGATGAAAATATGGTTGGGTTTAAATCTGGCAGTTCACCATTGCTTTGTGCTTATCTATTTGTTCTTTTTTTCTGTTTTATTTTTCTACCTTGATTTGGGCTGAGTATTATTTATGATTCCAATTTTCTCTAATATTAGCTATACCTCTGTATTTTTTTTTCTTTTTAGTAATTGCTTTAGATCATTGGTTTCTAAACCGCATTTTTTTGACTAGCAACAATTGGAATCTTGTTAGAAAAGCAAATTCTTGAGCCCTATCCAAGATCTGCCAAATCAGAAAATGTAGGGATGGGGAGACCTAGCTCTTTGTGTTCTATGAAGTCTCTCAAATGATTCTTATGAGGCCAAAATTATTGAAACATTGTTCTAGATTTACAGTGTACATCATTAGCTTATCACAGCCTATTTTATTTTTTATCTTTATATTTATTTTTATTTTTTAGTTTCTCTGTTGCCTAAGCCAGAATGCAATGACAGGATCATGGCTCACTGCAACCTTGAATTCCTGGGCTCAAGAGCTCTTCCCACCTCAGTCTCTTGAGTAGCTAGAACTACAGTTGCATACCACCATGCTCAGCTAATTTTTTAAATGTTGTGTAGGAATGGGATCTCACTATGTTGGCCAGGCTGGTACTTTGAATAATATTATAACACTTCAGGTACTTCTATTTACATCCATCCTTTTGCTATTGTTGTCATTCATCTTACATATACATAAGTTATAATTCTCATTATTAGTATTTTTGTTTTAAACATCAAACATATATTTAAAAGATTAGAAATTAGTAAAAGTACATATTTATTTTATATTTACTCACAGATTTTATTATTTTTGTGTTCTTTCCTTTGGTTAGATTCAAATGTCCATCTAATTTATTTTTTCTGCTTCTTGAGGAGTTTTCTTTAATATACCTTATAGTGCTGGTTAGCTGGCAATAAATTCAGCTTGTGTTTGTATAAAAAGTTTGTATTCCATCTTTATTTCTCAAAAAAAATTTTGTTTGACATAAAATTTTCTTGGTATATAATAGTGATGTTGTGTTTTATATTTTTAGTTCTTTGAAAATATCATTTCGTTGCGTTCTGACTTGCATGGTTTATGGCAAGAAGTTCACGTTCATTCTTATATTCCTTTCTTATATTTTCTGTTGATGATTTGTAATGTGTCTTTTCTCCCAGCCTGTTTGGTTTTATGTTCTTCTTTTTGTCAGTCGCTTTTAGCATTTTATTATCAATTGCCTTGGTACAGTTTTCTTTGTGTTTATTCTCCTTGAAATTTATGAGCTCTTTTATTTTTTTTCTTTTCCCTTGGTCTTCTGTCATGTTGGACTGCAATTACATGTATTTTTGACTACTTGATATTGTCCCACGAGGCACTGATGCTCTATTCTTCTTCTTCTTTTTTTTTTTTCCAGTTTTTTTCTCTGTGGGCTTCAATTTGGATAGATTCTAATGCTCTTTCTTCAAGATTACTTTTTCTTTGACAATGCCTATTCTTTTATTAACTCATCTAATATGTTTATCATTGCAAATATTGCATTCCATCTCTAGAATTTATGTTGGGTCTTAAAAAATATTTCATTTATCTTCTTATCTTGGTGATACTTTTCTTTGAATATATGAAGCCTGTATATCCTGTTTCAAAGACCATGTATGTCTGTCCTCTCTGTCATTCTGGGCCTTTTTCTGTTGAATGCTCTTTCTCCTTGTATTAGTTTGCCATAGCTGCCATAGCAATATACCACAGACAGGGTGGATTAAACAACAGAAATTTATTTTCTCATAGTTCTGGGGACTGGAAGTTTAAGATCAAGAAGCCGGCAGAACTGGTTTCCTGAGATTTCTCTCTTTGGCTTGCAGATGGCTGTGATCCCAGTGCTTCTTCACAAGGCTTTTTCTCCATGCATGCACATCCCTGGTGTCTCTTTGTGTGTTCAAATTACTTCTTATAAGTTCACCATTCAGACTGGATTAGGCCCTACCCTGGTAGCCTCATTTTAACTTAAATTGCCTCCTTAAAAGCCTTACCTCCAAATATAGTCACATCCCGAGGCACTGAGGTTTAGGGCTTCAACCTATGGGTTTTGGAGGGGCATACTTCAGCCCATAACACTCTTAGTTATAGCTTATATTTTCTTACTTTTTGCATTCCTGGCATTTTTTTAATTAAATTCTTTACATTTTAAAGTTTAAATATTAGATGTCAAATTTTGATTGATTGATTGATTGATTTAAATAGTGTTGGGCTTGTTCTGGCATGCAGTTATGTTACTTGGGTTCAGGTTCATCTTTACAAGGCTCACTTCTAAGATTTGTTAGTGCAGGTCCAGAGCAGCCTTCTGTCCAAGGCTAATTTTACTAATATCCTCTCTACTCCTTACAAATAAGGTGACACCTTTCTAAGACTACAACCCATTGCCCATGTATTTATAGGGGTTTCTATTCTGAAGGGTGGGAATACAAATTATTTGCAGACCTGTGTAAAGTCTGGCAATTGTTTGAACTTTTGATCTCTGATAGCTCTTTATTCATGAAGTTTCTTCTCATATACAGATTATTAATCAATCGAAGACTTGAGGATTCTCCTCTACCAATGTCCAAGGCTTCTTTCTGTGATCTCCCTTCCCTTCCATATTCTGCTCCACAAATTCCAGCTGTTTTGGCCTCAATGAACTCCATTCTTTGTCCCCTCAGTGTAATCATCAATCTTTGCCTGAGTTCCCCCTCTCTGTGCTGCAGCTGGTAGGGGTAGTTTACCTCCAGGCCATAAGCAGATACAGTGACTGCACTTAGCTTGTTTTCCTTCCTTTTCTCAGGGATCATAGCTCCATGCTACCTATTATTCAGTATCTGAAAATACTTATTTCATATATTTTGTTTGCTTTTTTCTAGATTTTTAATGGAAGGGGGTATATCTAGTCCTTCTTACCCCATCATGACTGCAAGTAAAATTCTGTTTTCATAGCTTTTAGTTTTGTTTTTTCAAGGTAAAAAGTTTGACTAAAATATTTTTTCAATATTTACTATTAATTTTTAGTACCAATTTTAATGGATTCAGTGTCTTTTATTCAGCACTAATTATTCTAAGATAATTAAGAAATACTGGAGTTTTCAAGATATGATATGAAATATTAATCATTTTGACATCCAAAGAAGAATCAAATGCAAATCAACAAATTTGGGAGGAAGGTCAATTTGAAATATTATTCATTTGCTGAGATTTATTTAGTCTATTTGTCAGAGATATGTCTTATTTAACTACTAAATTTTATATTAGAGAATAATTAAAGCTGCTTGGCATTTGTTGCCATTATTGCAATGCATACATAAAAAACAATTAGATGAATATGTTTTCTGTTTACTGTGAATGTAAATTAGTCACTTAAAATTATTATTTCAAATTGGTAATATCTTTTTGCTTTCCTTCCTTATTCATCACTGCTTTTGGAAATCCATGTAGGAACTTTAGATAACTATGTGTAAAATGTCTAATAAAAGAAGAATTTACGTTGTCCAGTGTGGACTGAACATCTATTTAGATGTCAGCTGATTAGCAGTTGACATCTATCAACTGCTGACTTTATTTTTTTTTTTATTTTTTTTTTGTTTTGTTTTTGGAGACGGAGTTTCGCTCTTGTTACCCAGGCTGGAGTGCAATGGCGCGATCTCGGCTCACCGCAACCTCCGCCTCCCGGGTTCAGGCAATTCTCCTGCCTCAGCCTCCTGAGTAGCTGGGACTACAGGCACGCGCCACCATGCCCAGCTAATTTTTTGTAGTTTTAGTAGAGATGGGGTTTCACCATGTTGACCAGGATGGTCTCGATCTCTTGACCTCGTGATCCACCTGCCTCGGCCTCCCAAAGTGCTGGGATTACAGGCTTGAGCCACCGCGCCCAGCCAACTGCTGACTTTAAACCATGCTCATAAAGCATACTTCTTGTTATGTTCTAATTTTACACCTGATTTTCTGTTTCCCCCTCTCTTGTTCTAGGAAAACAGTTGGTGTTTTCTGTTGTGGGCCCAATTCACTATCTAAGACTCTTCATAAGCTGAGTAACCAGAACAACTCATATGGGACAAGATTTGAATACAATAAAGAGTCTTTCAGCTGAAAATCCTTGCCATGAAGCAGGACTTTAAGGAAGGAATGAGTGCAATTTCTAAGACTTTGAAACTCAGTGGAATCAAACAGCTGTGTTATGCCAAAGAGTAGCAAGGTTTTCTTATTTATGATTATTTAAAATGGAAGTGTGAGAATGTGGCAAGATGAGTGGTCACATTACATGTTTAATCTGGAAACCAAAGAGACCCTGAAGAATATTTGATGTGATGATTCACTTCTCAGTTCTCCAATTAAAGGAAAACTATTAGATGCACACTGTTGATTTTTATGGTGGATTTAAGAACTCCCTAGTGAGGAGCTGAACTTGCTCAATCTAAGGCTGATCATCTTGTTCCTCTTTATATTGTTTTTGGTTGAACAAATGCAAGATTGAACAAAATTAAAAATTCGTTGAAGCTCAAATTCCATTTTCTATGTTGTATATAAACAGAGTAGCTTTAATTTGCAAGCACTCCAGGCAAATATATTAGATGTTTGAAAACACAGCACAAGACTCTGTACTGATACGGGTACTTTGTGTCAATATCTAATTGTCTCTACTATTTATGCTAATACCTCTATTTGATATCTGTAGACTATATGCTAACTGAACCTTCCTCAAATGTTGTTATAGTATCCAATTATATATATTTTTTTCTTTTTATTCCTCTCTCTAGGGAAATATGCCTTCCCTTAGCATGCATTAGACATAATGATTTAATAAGTCCTTTTCATCTTTAATTTATTTAATCTATCACTATTGCATGGAAAGGAAAATATCCCTATTATAAATTATAAAGACATATATATACTGAGTTTTTCCTTTTTCAGCATTTTTGTCTTCATTATTATTATTTCATTTTTTTCACAGGTACAATTTGTCTTAGGCTGTAGCCTCTTAGGATACTTAGTTAATTTGCACTTTGAGACCAAAGGACATTATGTCTGTCGGTAGGCACTGAATATAAGATTTATCTCCTTTGTCATACATTGGTTTATGATGGAGATATTGAAAGTATAGTCATATTCCTGAACAGTAAAACCTGTATTTTACCTTCTACATAAAAGGAAATACAGTATTCTTATTCAAATTTAAGTTTATAATCCAGAATATTATTGTTGCACTTTTTGGTATCCTGAGCTTCCATAGGGAACTATTGGGTTTAAAGTCACTGTTGGAACTACACTGTGTGATCTTATCATTTTCTGTTCCCTGTCTATCATATTCTTGGCTCAGAACAATATTCCCCATTACTATCTTAAGAATTAAGGGATTCGTATGATTTAGTGATTTTGTTTGGGAGTCAACCATCAATTTCTATCAAATATAACACATTGCTGAAATCAGCAGTGTGACTTGCCTTGCCATTGTTAAATTGTTACATAAAATATAACATGGTAGATGCAACTGTCATTTTTTGCTATAATTCATCAATAGCAATCAAGCATGCTAACCCATATTGAATGATATTTACTTGTTGGTATTTCTTCCTCTCCTTGGAGTTCTCATTTCTTTGGAAAGAAGATGAATCCACAAAAGTGATGGGAAATGTGCAATGTTCATGCAGATTTAGCTCTGAAGGCATATTTAATAATAAGTACGTCTTGACAACATTTTCTAGATTAAAAAGAATTTTCATGAAAATGTATAACAGAAAGAACTAGTAGAAAGAAACTTTGAGTTAGTCCAGGCTTAATGTCCAATACTGACTCTATACTGATCATACTTTATGTGATTACATTAATGTATCTAATTTCAATAAAACAGGTAGAAGATTTTTCAAAAGAAAGATGATGTTTCAAAGCCAGTCTGCTGTTCTAGATGAACCTCCTGGCTTACTTAAGTTCCAGTAGGTGTTCAAATGTTAAATGTTAACATAGGTCGTTTTTGCTTCTACAGCGCTTCCTTCATCTTGCATGTTTAAGAGAAATTTGTTTTATTTTGAGGAATTATTTCTCTGGGGACAGTTCTTAAAATATAAGCCTTAAAGTCACTGATTTTATTAGCAATAAATGTTAAAATTGAAATGGTGTCCTTGAAATTTCTGTAAGCTCACTCTAACTTTGAAACAAATAAAGCCTCAACATTTGTTCACAAGACGATGCAAGTTTAAGAAAAACACTCTACTTCTCAGGAATTAGCATTTGAGTGTACACTAGCATGAGAAGCCTTAGGAATTTGAGGTCTGGAACTTTCAATGTTACAGTCTAATGACGTGACTAAGGCAAATTACTTCTCATACATAGATTAAAATGTATCATTTGGATTAGATCAGTAATTATTAATTTTTTGGATAATGTATCTTTTTGAGAATCTGATTAAAATGCATAGTGTGACATATAGCACATCCCTATAACTTTGGGGAACCTACAAACATGATCCAAAAACAGGGTGCATGAGCAGAAAGACCTATAGCAATAGCAAAATGATTCATACTTACACATTTATACATACATGCTACATAAACCCATACATATACATACATACTTTTGAGACTTCATTTGGTTTTTTAAAAATTTCAGAGTGAAATGCTTGATAGTTCTTCATTTAGTGACTTTAAAATGCCAGTAGGGTCTCTGTGGTAGTACAGGCATTTAAAACAACAATAGCAAAATGGCTGTTGCTATAGGTCTTTCTACTCATACATCTCTTTTCTTTTTCTTACCTTTTCTGAGACAGAGTCTTCCAGCCAGACTGGAGTACAGTGATGCGATCTCGGTTCACTGCAACCTCCACCTCCTGAACTCAGGTGATCTTCCTATGTCAGCCTACCAACTAGCTGGGACTACAGGCACATGCCACCACACCTGGCCAATTTTTGTATTTTTAGTAGAGACGTGGCTTTAGCCATATTGGCCAGGCTGGTCTTGAACTCCTTGGCTAAAGTGATCCTCCCACCTTGGCATCTCAAAGTGCTGGGATCACAGTTGTGAGCCACCACGCCTGGCCCAAACTACCAATTTGTATAGGGTTATGCTAAAACATTTATTTTGTGAACAAGGGCATTCTCGTTATATGTTCCCAAACAGAGAATCCTATAGGACTTTCCATCGGTTTTTAATCTTGCTGGATCTCCTGATTTATGCAAGGAAAGGCTACGATTTTTACATATAAATAATTCTAAAAAACTAAGATTCATACATACACATTCATACAACCCTATTTAGTGCCATGTGGAAAATAAGATACTGAGTGCTAATTCCATATTCAGATTCAGAAAATTATAATTTTCTTACAAATCTATCTTCTTTTTCTAAATTTGTTAGTCTTATATGTTTTGCTTGTTAAAATCCATTTTCATGTACATGCATACATTTGGGACTTCATTTGCCTTTTTAAAAATTTCAAGTTAGAAGTGAAATGCTTGGTAGTTCTTCATTTAGTGACTTTCAAATGCCGGTTGGGTGACTGTGATAATAGGCATTTAAAACAGCAGCATAAAAGCAGTGTAAAGAAGGAACAGGGTGAATAGATTTGATCTACACAGCCAAGTGATTTATAAACCCATAAATTCGTGTTGACTTGGAGCATTCACAGTGGAGAATGGATTTAAATTATGAGCCATTGTTAAAGAGACTCACTGGAGGCAAATGGACTGTCAACATTAACAGATAATGTGGGTGATGAAGAATATTCGTTACATAAAAGAGAAGAAATTTTAAGGAAAAAACCGTTTTCTTTCTCAAGGATGATTATATCAGCCAAAAGGTGAGTTTTCTTAACAAACCAAAGGGAAGATTTTTAAGTTGCTGTTCACTTTAAGCAGTTTCTGTTTTTTGTGCTACCTAGGACCTTTTCATATCCAGTTATATTACTGAATATAAAATATTGAAGGTAGGCGTAGTCTTATTTTACTGCTGGAAAAATTGAGGCCCAGATTTGCTTCAAGTCATCTGTTGAGTTTGTAGCAGAGTTGAGACTGGTGCTCAAATTTTTAAATCTCTTCTATTGAAAGGCCCTTCACCTCCCCCATGAAGTCTTCATCTAAGAAAAATATCGTGCCCTGTGAGTTTGAATCGGCCGTTAAACCTTATTTAGTGCCATGTGGAAAATAAGATACTGAGAGGTAATTCCAGATTCAGATTCAGAAAATTATTCTTTTCTTACAAATCTAACTTCTTATTCCAAATTTGTTAGTCTTATATGTTTTGCCTACGAATATCCATTTTCATACACCTGTTTTTAAGTGTAATAATTGTGCTAAAGGGGTTGTGTTCTCCAGAGTTTTACCTTGGGAAAATCTGTAGTAGTGTAGTTTCTAGGAAATGCTAATTCTATAATTTTAAATTGAAGTTCATAGATGAAAATCATAACTTCACCAGCTATCTAACCACCCAGGAAAAGTTGGTGTCAAAACAAATGACTATTGTTCACCTCATTACTCACATGACCATAACTCACTTTTTGTCCAGGAGAAGAGTCAGCCTTTTGTAAACTAGTGAGACAGGAAATAAATGAAATCTAGTATAATGAGATTGGCATTTACTTCAGCCCCTTCAGGACAATGAGAACTGACTGTTATTTCTCTTCTAAATATCCTCTCTATTGCCCTAACTTTATTATTCTATTCTGTATGACTCTTTATTCTATTCTATACTATTATATTCTTTATTCTCAAAGGACAGAATTGCAAATACTAGCTAAACTAAACTTTCTAAAGAGAAAATGCAGAAAACATCTAATACTTAGCAAAGAAGGGTTGATTAAAAGATAAGAGAAAAAAAGGCCATGTGGATCTTTTATTAAACTTAGCAGAAAGTTTAATGTTGTTTTAGAACAGAGACCAACAATTTGATGCAAAGTGTTAAAATTCACATTTTCAGAACTAGTAAGGGCAAGAAACGTGTCATAGGAGGAAAACTAGGAGGAAGAAAAGTTATCAAAGAAAGCAAAATTATTTAACACATCAGGACATAATAATGCTTTTCTTTTTACAACTCAAAAGAGGCTTAAATATATGGCAAACTGGCTATTACTCTGGTTTGGAAGAATGTAAAAAAATGTGATGTTTGGCCAGATTTTAGGGAACCTTCACATTTTCACTGACATTAGAATTTTAGTAAGAAGCTTTATTTTAGGTTAAAATTATATCTAGGCTCGTTAAGAAATAAAGCATTGATGAGCTGCTGTTTGACCTAGAGAAGAACCTGACACTTAGATGAGAGCCAGCACTGCAAAATATTCTAATATACCTAGCATTAAACAAGGCCAGGATGCCATGCATTGCTCTAGTCACATACACAATGTGTTAAAACTGTTATTGCAAGGTCATATTTCACAACCCTTATGTTTCCACCGGGGGAATGTAAACCTTCTTAACAATTGCAGACATTGAGAAACAGATGTTGGCTCTGTTGTATCATAACAGTGTGTCTATTCATTCATATCAGCATATTCACTTGAACTTAGTATCAACTTAGTATGACTGTGTAACTCATTTTAGTGTTGAGAAATATCCACAGTGCATAAAATGGAAGGTTTGCTTACTTGCTTAAAAATTTACTGCAGCCAACACACTGGCTAAAGACAAAGCTGTTAAATTTTCTAGGTTTTTCTCTGCAGCTGAACCTCAAAGGAATGTAAAATACCTTCTTACCACATGTATTTTGGAACATGACCTGGGACATAGCCTGCACTCTGTGATTAGACGTGCTGCACAGTTTCTTCTTTAGGTTCCCAGGGACTATAAGGTTTAGGAAAATACAATCTCTTGAGTCAGCTTGGCATCTCTACTGGCAGAACTGGGTGCCCACCAGGTACAATGACACCTTTATTTAAAGATGACAGTTATCTGCTCTCCGAAAGGCATTAGCAGAAGATTATCTTTTTGTTTCTCTTCTCATTAAAATTTGTTTTAACATCAAAGGTGGGAAAAGTAGAAATCACTTCAAAAATCAGGCATACAATTGGATGGCATGCTGTTCTACCCTGAGAGTGTGCCAGTGTTACCATTCTATTCAGCCACATCCAATGGTGTTGGAGTGAATAGGCTTCTGAGAGAGAAATCCGAAAATTTGGAGCCTTCATCCCTAAAATATATTAGACTACTTACATAAAAATGGAAATAATATCTACCTCTGCTTAATGGACAGGGATGCAGTGTGGCAAAAATGTGGAAGAGGGGAGGAGAAGTGTGGTAAAGAGAGAGATTTCCTAGGTAAATCTTTCTTAGTAGGTTTTTTATAACAGAGTAAAAATCAAACATTGTTGTAAGAAATTACAACTCAGGCTTTTATGAGTCGCAGTCCATTGTACCTGAAAGACTGGTTCTTTAATTTAATTTTCTAGGCAAGTATAGAAACACCTACAGCAAACCAGCACCACTATCTGTCTTTGTTCTGCTCCTGATAAAGTCTTTTGTTAAATCTAGTATATGCTTTCTGAATTCCCCTTATACAATAGTAGTTGTATAAGTCTACCTAAAGTGATTTTTAATATAGTGGTTTTCCTCAAAAGCATTAAACCCAGGTGATATAATGTTCAGCGACAATGCAAATCACCAAGAATGTGTTAAAGACTTAAGGTCCTTTTCCAGGAGCCCTCAAGTCTATATGAGGTGCTAGAACACAAGTTCTCAACGACTTTCTTACTTCCACATTATCAAGTGTGGAAGTCCTCCATGAGTTTCCTTATTCATAGTAAGGAGTATGACAGTTTTTTTTCCTTTCTGCCACTTTTTGAGGTCATGGATATTTTTTAAAATTTATTTTTGATTGACAAAAACTGCATATTTTATGGTGTACAACATGATGTTTTGATGTATGTATACTTTGTAGAATGGCTAAATCAAGCTAATTAGCATATTCTACAGGCATTTTTGTTGCTGTTGTTGCTATGGCTACCAGCGTTGTTATTTCTAATACCTTCTTCATAGCAAATGAGACCAAGGCATTCCCAAGTGTGATCTTGAATTCAATAAAAACTAAAAAACTTATTAAGGCTTAGAGTTGAAAAGGAGCTTAGAAGTCATCTAGTCCAACTCATTCAACATACAGATGGGGAAACTGAAGTCTAAAGAGGTGGGACG